GCAGCCACTCTGGTTTGGTGGGTCCCAAGTGTTCAGTGTAGGCTGTTCTGGTTTACAGAACTGCACTGGAAACATTTAACTGTAAATACAGAGATGTTACATTTCTGGCTCCATAGGGTCTGCATTACATTTATTCGCTTTAAAAAAAAAAAAAAACAAACAAACAAAAAATAACTGTCACAGGTAATATGTCATTGTTGTTGCCTTTACAAATTCTCTTTCTACAGTTCAGAAGTGAAGGGGGAATTTTTCTTCTCCTCCTCTTCCCCCCCAGGTTTTGTGTTACAACAACATTGTGAAAATGTTCTCAAATTCTGGTGAAAATTCCTGCATAGAGGCTCTCAAAAAAAAAAAACCAAAACAAAAAAAAAAACAAAAAACAAAAAAACCCAAAAAACCACCACCAAAAAACCCCTTTGAAAAATCATGCATGTGCTACGTACGAAAGGCTTATCAAATGCCCAACTTATTATGCAATCTGCTACTCTAAAGGGTTACCAACATCTCCAAAATAGCTTCAATGTAATCGAGTCAACTTTCCACTAATCATTCCTAATATCAATACATTATATATAGATGTCTTCTTATCAAAACACAGAACTAGTTATAGTTCTGTATCCAAAAATATTGTGTCCCACCAGAAGTTTTAGCGTGGCTATTATATGTACTGTTGTCTTATGGCATTGACATATCAAACAAGCCAAAAACCTGTGCATAAATTTCACTCGAAACACCAGACTACACTGTTTTAATGCTATGAAACATCAAAATATACATTTATTCATATTTATGGCTGAGCATACTTGGAATAGATTTGTTATGAACACATACTTAGTTAAAATTATTTGCCTGCAGATGATCATCAGATACATCAGCTTAAGATTGAGAAAGCAGAAGTTGAAAACTTTATGGAGTATTTTCACTCTTACCAACTGTCTCAAATTTTGCAGTTACTTTGGTTAAATTCACTGTATGGCATTTTAAAATTTTATGTTAATTACATACAGGTGTACACACGTCAAAGCACATGTTCAAATTATGCACAATATGCAACTCTGAGTACAAAAACAAGATATGGACCTTACACATCATTGTTCAAACATAAATTCAAGTTCCATTAGCCCCATGGTACATCAACCCCATACATTTTTCTGCTCCAATACTCACAGTAGCCATATTTTTAAAATTAAAGTTACACTCCTAAAGATGCATTCTGACTACTTGAGCAGCTGAATATTCATACTGCCTACTTCAGTATTACAAAGAAGGTACAGCTGGCCTGCAGCCTACCGGATTGAGAAAATGTAGGAAGTACAATTCCAGTTTACCATTTGTAAGCAATAAAAAAAAAAAATTACATATATCACCATTTAGAAACACTGTAGAAAGAAAGACTTTATCTGTTCATCTTTTTCTGTGAAAGAGGAAGATATTACTTAAGAGTTAGGTCCTCATTTTCAGAAAAATTCCAAGACATCAGGTGACACTTAAGGCCCATGTGAACAGGTAGAAAACTAGCTGGCTTTACTTTGAGTTTTAAGAACAAATAACATCACAAAATGGAAATGGGGGGAACATGCACATCGCCAAGACATTTCACATAATCTTTACATAAAAACAAAACAACACAACACAAAAGCACACAACAACAACACAGAGGGGAAATAGTGCACCTTCTTCTTTAGGAGTGAACTGATCCATCATGGTGGAAGCAGCAGGGAAAAAAAAAAAACAAACAAAAAACCCACCAAAATAATGACCTGTGGCTGCATTAGCCTGAAAAACTTTCATTTTAAATGGTGGCTGGAATTCATATGAAAGAAGGAATTCCAAGTACTGCCAGATGTGATCAGAGGATTGGGATTCCTGGTCACTGCAGTGTGCACCTGGGAGCTATCCAGAAAAACAGGGTAAGTGAAGGCCTTTACAGGCCATCAGTTTTGGGGATTCTTCCTATCACAGCAAGAAAATTATAACCTCATCTGAGGGTCCTGTCCTAAGAATCACAAAACATACTTCTTGTACGATAGCCAGACAATAGCAAATACTTGGCAAACAATCTGCTGACTCTTAAGAGATTCTTATGTGGCCAAGGGCTTTTGGCCTCCGAGTTGTACGCATTCAGAAAGGGCAAAGTTGCTACTTCAGCATTCATGGCAAGACCAGAACAAATTCACATTTGGTCAAAATTGAATGACGAAGGACTAGTTAGCACTAGGCTTCTGGTGCCATTGTCCCCAAACTGGTTTGAACTACAATTAAAGTCTACCCTGTAGCAAGCAATATAATACCCCAAGTAGATCTTGGCTTTGGGAAAGGAAAAGGGGACTTTCATGCTCTGGTGGGCCAGGCCTCTTCCCTTTTGCCAAACATGAACCCACACAGCTTGAATTGATTCAAAATTCCACAGCCATGATGGATTAAAGAATTTTTTTTTTTTTAATTTTAAAGAAAATTAATTAAAATCCACAGCTCCAAGCCTTAAAACCTCACCAGAAGAGGTTCTTTAAAAACAAAGCAGATTAGTCTCTCAGCTGCTGATCCCCATTTTACCTACCATGTGTTACATGAGTCAAGGACATATCGCCTTTTTCTTCACATATAAAACATGTACTATAAGTTTATGCATTATTACACAAATTTGTGTTATACACAAATATAACCACAATGTAGGTTCAGAAAAAAGCCAAACAGATGCACAAAAAGTTTTCTGCATTTATTTCATAGAATCTTAGAATCATTTAGGTTGGAAAAGACCTTTAAGATCATCCAGTCCAACCATTAACCTAACACTACCAAGTCCACCACTAAACCAGTTAAGGGTAGAGTAGCAATTTCATGTTTCCTGGCTTGGTGGCTGGATTATTTATAATGAAAGTAAAAACTAGGAATCATTAAGGTTGGAAAGGACCTCTAAGATCATCATTCCAATCATCAACCCAACACCACCATGCCCACTAAACCATGTCCCAAAGTGCCACGTCGACCTGTTTTTTGAACACCTCCAGGGATGGGGACTCCACAGAAGTGTATCAATTTGTGTATCAATCCACATTAAAAGGAAGATGTGCTATACGCTCCAGAGAGGTCTCAAACAAACAAACAAAACCCCTAAACAAACAAAAAACCCCACAAATCAAACACCCCAAAAACCCAAACCCACAAAACCCCCCAAAAAAGCCCAGTGAAAAAACCCACCACACCAAACCCAGAATAAGAGTAGTAGCTGGGATGACAATGTAGTTTTTAAAATACAGAGCAGTCTTCAGAAACACAGTAAACTAGCTTAAAGCAAAAAAGCCTCAACATAGTATTGCCTCTTAAAAATATTAAGAAAAAAAAAATCCAACATAATCTTCCATTACTGTGAGATTCTCTTCATAAATATTTATATATTCACCTTAAATCAATATCTCGATTTGAACTTAGAAATTACAGCCCTGAAGTTAGCTGCTAACCATGTAGTTA